AAGTTCAGGCCTTATTACTTAAGTTTATTCCCTAATATTTATTGCTGAATTCAGGACATTAAACTACCTCCTCTGATGAGAAAGCCAATAGACTAGAAACTGGTTTATGATTACCAATATCAGGCCTCCATGCCTTTGGCATTAGGGCTGATGCATCAACTCTGCCGTGTTTCTCATGCTAAAACAGGGGCTTCACTAATCCCACTTTTAATTGGATTTCCCTCCAACATTTCTAACAAGCAACCCTCTGTCTCTATATTAGAATAAATGCTTCTTCCCTGCCGAATGCTTACAGGCTCAATATTCAAGAAAGGAGGCAGATTTATTCTAGCTTTTTATGTTCACATATTGGATTCCATTCTTAGTATTTACTGAGCATTCAAAACATGTAAAGTTCTGAAAACAAAGACACCTTGCTTCCTGTCCCTGGAGCTAATCATGAGAGAAAAAGAAACCATTGGGATTAATTAGCTATTTATTTACATTTAAAGGAAAAACGCTGCATGATCTTCCCCTTTTGTTTGAGACAGGGTCTCACTCCATTGCCCAGGCTGGAGTGCAAGTGGTGTGATCTCGGCTCACTGCAGCCTTGACCTCCCAGGCTCAAAAGATGCTCTCACCTCATCCCGCTGAGCAGCTGGGACCGCAGGTGTGCACCACCATGCCAAGCTAATTTGTTGTGGTTTTTTAGAAGCAGAGTTTTGCCATGTTGCCCAGGCTGGCTCCAACTCCTGGACTCAAGTGATCTGCCTGCCTCAGCCTCCCAAAGTGCTGGGACTGCAGTGTGACCCAAAGCCCCTGGCCAGTGCCTCTTCCCCCTTTCCCCCCACCCCCCACCAAGAAAAGACAGTCAAAATATTTAACCTCTTTTTCCACCATAATTTCCATATTGAAGTTCTACAGTTACCCTGTTGTGCGCCTAGGATGAGGCCAGACATCTTTCTGGTTGTTTTGCCATGATGGGCATAAAGTATGTTTATTGTGCTAGCTACTTTTAGGGAGCTTAACCAAATGTCAGAAACCAGATCCTACTGATAGTCCTCGCTACTGAGCTGCTTCTGCTACTAGGCCATTTAAAACATGTTGTGAATAGTTTTGTTTTTAATAACCTGGATGCTAGTCAGTTAATGACAATGAAAATGGAAAGAAAGATTATTACTGGAAGGCAGGAGGAGCTTTGGGAAGAGGAAAGAAGGGTGTTTACCTGTGTGAGGGACACAGCTGAACTGAACCGATATAATCTTTCCTTTCTTCTTACCCTTCCCAAATTTTCTTAAATCCCTCTTCACTCTCCCATGTCTACCATTCCCATAACCATGACCAAGAATATCCCTTTTATCAAAGCTGATACCATTTATACTAAGAAGTGCATGATTCAGAGTCCAAGGACCTTAACGCTTCAAAAGGATATTTACATTCTCAAAAAAGTGTTTGCTAATGCCTTTCCAACGGGTGTATTATGCTAGTGTATTTTAGGCTCAACTCTCTGTTACTTCCTGTCTATTCCACAGACTGTGCTGCTTGTTCTTCCTCTTAAATTTTAACTATTTAGGATATTAAAAAAAGAAATACCCACAGCATCGCTACATTGAGGCCCTGACTTCCTGAAATCATTGTGTGTGCGTGAGAGGCAGTGGAATGAGGGGCAAGGAGAGGGGTCGCATTAAAACCTGAGTTCCCACCGACTGCCTGCCTAATGCTTCTTCCTCTCTGTTTCTCTTGTATTTTCAATTTTTCCACCTCTACAGACCCTTCCTTCTTTGCCTGCAAACATTCCAGTGGACCTTCTAGGTACAGCTTCTGTCCTTGTTTTTCCCTGGAATTTCTAGAGCAAGTGGTCCCCGCACCTTTCCTCTGCCTCTTTCTCACCCCACCGACTTGCTCAGTCCTCAGCGCTTGCTGTCTGGTCTACGTTGTCACCACTCAACTTTCCCGCATAGCTAATAGGCCAGTCCCACTGAAGCTCCCTGACCTCTTAGAATCTTCAACGTGGCCATCTACTACATCTTGACTTCTCTCCTCCCTGCCTACACAAACTGCTCTTGTCTAAGACACTAATGATTCATTTCCATTATATTCAATATAGGCTTCTCCGTTGACCTCTTGGCAGGGTTTAGTACAGTTAACCCAATGTGCTAGTTGCTATATCCTTCCTCGTATCCGGGAGCACAGACTGTCTTCTGCTTTTCCTCTTGCCTCTCTGGTAAAAGTGTCCCAGCCTTTGTTGTTGTCTCTTCCTTCTAATCCTATCCCTTAAATATTGATATTCTTCAAGGATATATCTTCGTACTTTCCTGTTTTTGCCTGCGACTATGTCTGGTGAGCACGTACTCTTCTGAGGTTCCACTTTTCAGTTATGTGATAATGACTTCAAAACGTAGAGCCCCAGACTTGACCTCTCTTATACCCATCAAACACATACTCAACTGCCCACTGGACATCTCCATTTAAATATAATCTCAAATTTAGCGTCACAAGACCAGGTCTCTTCCTACAAATCGAATTAAACACACACCCATACACACACACAAGCACCATCCCCAGCTACTTTTGTATTTGTTACTTAGTGAATGGTAACACCCACCGCCTGTGGCCAAGAAGAAACTAGATGTTTCTCTTGAACTTCTCTTCTACTACCCCTACTCCACAAAAATAATCAAGTCTTGTACCTCTGTCTTTTGAGTCGATTCACATTTCTCAGCCCAAATGGATACTATACAAGACCAGGTCTCCTGGATTTCACTGCCCTGTGTTCTTCCTCTGTCTATTTCCTCATTGTTGCAGAGCAATTTTTATAAAACTAAACTGTGATAATACCCATCAGCTACTTCCTATGATTCTCTGGATAGAGTCCACATTCCTTAACATAACCCTCAGCCTCTGAAAAATTGGCTTTGTCTTTCCAGTCTTCTCTCTCAACTATTTTTCATCTTGTATTTTCTGCCCATTGGCACCTTGCTGTCACTCTAAGCTGAGCTTTCACACTGCAAGAGGGTGCTCTCCCCAATTCACTGCCTCAATCTGCCGCTTACAGGTCACTTGTCCCTGGGATCTTTCCCTGACCTCACAGTGTAAGTAACATGTTCTGAAACTCTTCCAGATGCCATAACACCCTGTGTTTCTCTCTCTTACCCCAAACAGTTACCAGTTTGGGTTCACCTGTCTGTACCACTCAGCAGACTGTAAGCGCTCTTAGATATCAGAAGCCATGCGTCTTGTTCATCTTTGTAATCCCAGTACATCATACAATTCCTGGCACACAGTGGATTTTCTAGATAAATAACTTGCTAACAATTTGCTAAGTAAATGACTCCCAATTCTGTATCTTAGCCCTGGCCCATTTCTTGTAATTTAGCTGCCTGCTGAGCATTTCTAATTGTTTCTAGCTAGTACCTTCATTTCAGTGCATTCCAAAATAAACTCCACATTCTCCAAGACTCCAAGCTTTCTTCTCTCTCCATGACAACATTGTTATTCCAATCTTCTGGGCCTGAAATCCAGGCATCATCTCTATTTTCTCCCCCTTGTCAGGCACATCCAACAAGTAGTCAAGTCTGTAGATTCTACTTTCAGAGTTTCTCCAAACTTCTCTTTTTTTTTTTTTTTTTTTTTTTTACTATTTCTGCTTCTACAATCCTAATATAAGAGATTTGTTATATTTTGATTAGATGACCAGAAGACTTAGTCTCTTGGGTTTCAGCCTCCTCTCCTAATAAATCCATTAGATTAATTTCTGAAAAGTGCATTTCCTGTTATATCACTTCTTTGTTAAAAATCTTCAAAGATTCTTTACTATTTAGTTAAAAACCAAATACTCAGCCTAACGTTTAAGGCTTTTCCTAATGTGGCCCCAAGATGACTGTTCATTCTTATCTTTCCCTATTCTTCTATAAGAATGGGATGTTTCTGTTAAACCACATTGTTCTACCAGCATGTTCTGCACTTTCCCACATGGGCATGTTTGTTCTCCCTCTTCCAGTTTAGTGGAATGCCCTCTTCCCGTCCCCTTTCTTCATATGTTGAAATCCTCCTCACACATCTAGGTTAATCATAGAGTCCACGTCTACCATAAAACTCTTCCTCATCTCGCTTGATGAAATATGATCTCCTCCCGTGTTAACCTGCAGAGCGCTTTGTTTCTCTTACATGGTACTCACTAGTACCGGATTTGTACTTGCCCCTTACTATAGTCATACAACTCTAATACTGTTTCTCTTCCTGAAAATCCACCGAAGTTAGAAGTGATAGCTTACCTATTTTTTTTTTATCAACTCACCGCAGCACCAGTTGTAACTCTCTGTGTACACATACATTACACACATACAACAATGTGCCTGGGCTCATGCACTTGCTTTCATCATGAAAAAAAGAGTAGAGAAATACCCATTGCTCTGCTCTCTCTTGCATCTATTACTCAGGAAACATACACTAAAATACTAATCGTGGCTATACTTTTTTATTCCTAGGGCATCTAAGATATATCTCATTCTTCCAGCTCATAATCTTTTTTAAACTAATTCAGACTAGAGGCATTACCGGACCAGCTGCTTGCTGTCCTGCATATTTGGAAGACTCCCTTTATGGAACTGTACACTGACCAAACTGGGTCTCTCCCAGGAATCAGCTGCATCCTTGTGTTTTTCAAGGTATTCAGACAGACCTTGCCAACACCTGGGCAACTTTAGAAAGCCCTGTCCTTCTCAGGTAGGACTCATGTTCACACTTCCAGATTAAATCACCAGTGCCACTGGAACTTGAGAATGAAGGGAGATCATTCTTAGCCTGAACAAAAGGGACTTCATGCCTGACTTGTTCCCCAGGGTGAACAAACACAGCCATGTTTACCCTCACCAGGGCACATTTGCAAGCTGAAAAAGACTGGGCATATTCATCCTTTTCCTGTTTAGAGTAATGGGGAGCCCAGCTGGGGTGGTTACTAGGTTCACAAAGAAAGAGGCAAAATTTTGGCAAGTCATTGGGAGACCTAGCAACAAAATTCATTTCCCCCACCCCTTTCCCACCCATTTGAAATGCAGGTTGCCTCAAAGCAGCATGAAATCCCTGGGAACTTCTTGTGCCCTTTCAACAAATCAGCTCGATGAAGGGAGATGACTCAGTCTCCTTTGCCCCTGAAAGTCAGAGCCAACTCTGGCTACCAGCACTCTTGGCTTCACAAAAGAACAATTTACCCTGGTTCCCTCCCAGACTCCAGTCAGTCTCCCTGCAGCTTCAAGTGGCATCAAAGAGGGTATGTATACTCTGTTTAATTATCACTTGCTCTCCTGGAAATACGTCTTTGATAGCCTGTGTGTGGAAATGTGCCGATTTACAAATGGATGCTTCTGTTTGCCAAGTAGAACAGTTCAACGCAAATGAAAGAACTCTTCCTTTACATTTAGGATTTTATTTATTTATTTATTTTTCTTATGCAAATGGGACAGATAAGCTCTGCCCAATTATAAACTGGTTCTGCTGATTCTCAGCAATTTAAGACCAATAATTATATTGCAAACTGCCTACTCTCTGTGGTGCAGTAGAAAGGATTCATAGATATATATATATGGTGGGTTTTGTTTTTAAAGGAAAATGTGTCTGTTGAATCTTTGTATTGGTTTAGAAACCAGTCTGGACTTGGCCTGGAGCAAGACTGCTGATGGCAAATTGAGACCTGGAGACACATTTCATTGCCTGATGGATGGGAGAAGCTACCCAGCCATGGTGCCTTGTTTTTCTCAGGAGAAGGGAGGACTGCACCTCTGTTCAGAGGAAATAAATTATAGGGTCAGAGGTCAGAGGGCATTAGTCTATAGAGTTTTATGACCTGTAGCTGACAATTATTTCTCTTGGGTAGAGGAGCAGGAGGAAAAAAAGAAAAAAAAAAGAGAACTTGTACTTGTTCTCATTCTCATTTCTTATCTCTCTCTGAATTTAATTTCCTCGTTGTTGCATTCGATCCCAAAACATTGCTTTCTCAGCGTTTCTATTATTTATTCTTCACTATCTCATTCATTTTTACTACTGTTTGCTTCAGCATTCTATTTACCTTTTCTCAGTCATGTTATTACTGTTTTATTTGTTTCAGCTAGCTTGTCATCCTTCTCCAGGAACTGACTGTTAGCAAAGCCTTGCTTATTGACAAATTCCTGCCACCTTGAAGAAATGCTGAAATCAATCGTTGAGATAAATCCTTTGTGTTCTTGTAAATTTCTTCTATTATTAAGGTTATTTCCTTAACTTTACATTTATTTTTGTATTTTTACATTTTATTTTGGGTCCCGGATGGAGACAAATAGACTGAAGGATAACAAACAATAGCTACACTATCTTTTGTAACATTTATTTCTAATTTTTTCCTTTCTCTCTTATTAAAAATTATTGAAAATTAGGCTTAAAAAGCCCTTATAGATTTCTCAGCAAATTTCAAAATAAAATGGACCTCGGTACATGCATCTATGTAATTTATTTGAAGAAGATATTTCTGAACATTAATGGAAATATGTTCATTCTGGTTGTTTAAGCAATACAAAGATTAGGAATAAAATAAAGAGTAGAACAGAATAATAGAACTTAACAGACCTCCTATGAACTTCAGAAGAAAACTAAATTTAAAAATGAGTCTGGAATAGGAGTAATGGAGATCAGAGGCAAAGAAAAAGTTAAAAAATGAATTTGGGATGAGTCATGTGCCTTTTCACATCCCTCAGAACCCTCAATAACTGTCATTTTCTGCGTGACAGCTAGAATGAAAGCTTCTCTGAGGTAGCTCTGTGTCTTGTGTGGAGCTCTATGTCTAGCCTCTAGCATAATTCCTGACACGAAAGAAGTACTCATTAAATAGGTGCCCTGTGAGACAATGACTCAACACAATTATCAAAGACTTGCGACAAAGGGGTTCTGATTGCAGGAACCTCCTGTTCGCTTATCTGTCCTCTACTATGTTGTAGCCCACAATGCAGTTCTTGTGGCTCTCCATGTGCACTGTGCTTTCTCACTTTAGGTTTCACCATTGTGCTGCCTGACCAGAGCAGACTCCTGTCTCTAACCACTTCTACTTCCTTGTTTCTTTTAGCATTTCATTTATGTGACCTTCCTCAGGAGCTCAGCGAGGAGCCGCAATATGTAACAGGCATCCGACTCTACTGGAGTTGCATGTTTGACTTGCTAGGCTGAAAGCATCTTGAAGGTAAAAAGAGTATCTTACACAGCTCTGTACTCTCAGTGTCTAGCCAGAGCATGAGACAAAATAGAAGCTAATATATCTGTTGAATTAATAATGAATGAAGGAGCAGCAACAACAAAGGGAAGAAATGGAAGGGAGAGATTAGCAGGTGATAACAAGAAGGGGTTGAAAAGCAACTCTGTCTTTACCTTGAGAATACAAAGCACAATCTTATACAACAATTAAATTGCTTTGGATTCCAGTGCCCTCCTATGGGGACCATCTGGTTACTGAGAGATTCAAGGTAAGGAATGAATTAGGTAGAGTAGATTGTTCAGTTAAGAGTGTAAGTGACTAGAAGTGAGAGGTAGCATCATGGGTGGGCATTGTCCCAGCCATAAAGTGAAGAGGGCACTATGGTGGATTCTCCCACTCTACCTGCTAGAACTTATTCCCCACTCTCCCTTAATGTTTTCCTTTTCATCTGGTTGAATCTACATTTTTACTGACTCTATAAAAATACCTTATTAATTTCTACTTTACCACCTTTTCTCAGTTTCCCCTTTTCTGTTGTTTCTTCTCCCCCTTCTCACATATAAAAATATGGTCCTTTAAAGGTCAATTATATTTTTCTGCCTTCAGACTCTATTAAGACGTGCAAATGAATCTAAGCCTGTCATCTTTGGAACACCTACAATATTGCCACCTATACTATACAATCGATCGATGACATACCTGTGAATAACACTGCATTGCCTACTGCTTTATCCACTCAGTTTGTCTCCCAACCAGACTATAAAACTCTTTCAGTCCAGGTATTACACTTTGGACTTCTTGTAATCCTTTAAAGCACTTGGCCTTATAAGATGCCAGTTACCTCATGAATAACTGATTGAGAAAAATGGGTTACTAGATAACTTATGTATATGTAACATTATCCTCAGTCAGCTGATTATCCTACCCAAATTTTGCTTTTGGTGCATCCTGATTTTATAATTCTATATGGATATACATATGTAAGCATAGATATGGTTATAGTTATAGGTGTAAATATAGAGAGGTAGAAAGCTCTTTCACTGTTTTATTGGACACTTCGTATTCAAGAAGTTCTTGTACTTGCAAGCTTCTTTTCTCTTATTTCTTTCTAAGAGGGGATGATAAACAGTTGTTTACTGCCATTTGAATAATGGACTGTCACGAATGCTACTTCTGGTTTCCTCCTTTCTTGGCTAAACAACCTTAGCCCCTTTAGACATTTCAATGCCATGAACAGATGCTCAATAATATTACTTGGTGGTTAGCCATAATTTATAGTGCTTATTTATGGAAGTCAATGAAAATAGAAGCCTTATGTATTTTTAAACTTTCTTTCCCATATGGCATACTTCACAGAGAGTGAGGATTTAGATGAATAGATAGATGAATGCAGCTAATATTATTATTTTGGTCTCATCTGAAAGGGAGGAAACATAGGAAACATTAGAATGAAAGCCAAAATGCAAAAGATGCTATTTTACTATTAACTCAGACTTTTCTTTTGCCAGATGGTGTTGGAGGAAAGCTTTTGATTTTTTGATGATAGGCATCTTCTTTGAATTTTGCTAGCCAGACACATTTCCTCTCTTCTCAGCATGCAGAGACAGAGCAGCCATCTCTTATATACCTCCTAGATACAGTAACTGGTTTGGCATTTCCCAGTGATTGTGGATCTGGCAATTGCGCAGATTTTCATTAGCACCCCAGTCATGTATAGAAGATGCTCCCAGAGATAAGCATGAGACCTTCATCAGTAGAGTTATTTTAGGCTCAGCTTTACTAAAACAGCATCAAATTCTAATAGAACCTACCAGACTTAATTGAAGGAGCTACAGTGGACTAACAACAATGTACTGTGATATCCAGAATGTCAACACAATACTACAAGTAATCACAAATGTGTGTGTTTGCGTGTGTGTGCATGTGATGTGTATGGTAGAGTGGAGGACTGTTGATGTATATGGTAGTGGGTTGTTTTTGTACCATACCAGATAGGTCTTAGTACTGTCCCTCAAGAAAGACATAAGATTATAAAAGGGAAGTGTAACTGAATAAGCAAAAGAGAAAGAAGTTGCCATGTTAGTAAAACTAGATCTTGAGATGGAAGGAAACCGAGAGGTCAGTTAACACAACTTCTTTCTTGATGGGGAATGCCATTTCTATTGTCATCAGTAAATATCAGCTATCCTTGGAAGTCTATATTAAAAGATTATTATTTATTTTGTAAACATAAAGACAGAGAAAGAAGAAGAATTGAAACTTACTTTTCAATTAATACTTGGGAAGGCTAAAGATAGGGTAAGCATGGATTTAGTCACCTATTAGCAGAATATCAGACTTAAAGGCACTTCTTGAAGCTGAGAGATGGGTTTGTGCTTGTGGCATTTAGCTCAGCAGGACAGAATGGAAATTAAACTTCTAGTCCTAAGTGCTGGATTCTAGCACTGGCTCCATATAGCTAGCTATGTAGCACTAAGCTATACACATGGCTTCTTACCTGTGAAATGAACAAGTAGAATTAAATGATTCCTGAGTTCTTTTCCAGCAAGAAATTATGTGATCCTAAGGAAAATATTTACTTCTAACAGTGGATCAACGGTAGTACTAATATGAATCTCAAACTTTCTAGCACATTCTCCTCTACTGAAAATTATACAGTCATTGTGTCTGACCCATAGGCTTGCTCCATTTCTTTATTTTTTTAAGATCATCTTGCTTCCAGATTCCTCCCACAGACTCAGTGTTGGATTAGAGAAGTATTAATGTTCACAAGGATGATTCTAAGGCTATGGTGTATCTTGTCCAGATTGTATACTGCACAAGGGTATCCAACGGAAGGAGCAAGTGGGAGCTGCAAGCAGGGTGCCTTGGGTAGATGCGTCCACCTGAAGGCAGGCATGCCTATTGCTAATCCATTCTGGGGTACTGGCTTAGCATATTCTGAGAAGTGGGATTCACCCATTTATTCTATGATCTGAAAAGGTCTGAACTATACCAACACTATTAGCATTGATTCTCCAATGCTGAACATATATCACAAAACCAATTACAAGAGACTCTGGGGTTAAAAAGAGATGTAACATAGCAGTTCCTCTTAAGGGGCGAAACATTCCAGACAGCTCAGATCAAACTTTTGCATCACCTATTTTGTTGGAATAACAGTACATTATCATGGGAGAATACATTTTAAAAATGAAATTTATTGGATAAAACATCCTCCAGGCTAACTTGCACTGAATCCCTGCTGAATGATCTCAAATGAATAAAACAAATTATGTACACTGCATTAGGCCTTAGCATTCACAGTACAGTCAAAAGGAGATTCAAACACTCTCTGTAGGTGCCCTGCCTGGCAGGTGAAGGCAAATCTCACTGAAGCACTTGCTGGTATTCCTTCTTTCTCAAGAAGAGTTTGATAGACTTTTCTGCAGATATTCAGCAACCTATTTGGGGTTTGGAGTGAAAATGTGGTGTGTAAGGCTACCCTAAAATTTCATGGAAAATGTAAATTGCCTGAGTTTTCTTCCAAATCACATCAGACTGAAAATGGCTCCCATAGCTTCTCCCTTCAACCATAAGATGCCCATTAGGTCCAATTAATGCTGAGACCCTGGCAGTCTTATGCCTGATTCATTAATGACGAGCCTCATTTACAGTTGAAAAAGTAACGCAACGGAGCAATTACAATAACTTCCTGCCTTTTCCACACTGACCCATGCTCTGCCAACTGCTGACCTCTTCCCACAGAGAAGCTTTGCTCCAGCTGGTCAATGACAGCATATGCTCAGGAGACAGTGGACATGGCAACAACAACAAAGGTGAAATCTCACCTAGCATCACAACTTCCATGCTTATTTGAGACCAAACATGAGACTCTTTCTTTTTACATGGAATTTCTAATTTAATTAAGGATGGAACAGAGAAGCCGAGACCTCGATTACTCTGTAGCACATTGCTTTTCTACAAGGTATTCACTTCATCAACACCCTCTAAATCTGTAAAATATCCTGCTGGCCTCATTACTAACATGAAACTGGCTCAATTAATTTGTAATGCTGCTCTGTGTCAGAGATGCTGGTTTTTACAATATAATTATAAATACACACATAGATATGTACATCTTTTAAATTTTGCCTGAGTATTTCATTGCATTGACTACAGATATGGTAGTTATTTATTTAGCTGTAATAGTCAAGTGAACTTTTCTCCGTATCTTTCTGCATTCTTCCTGTTCTCCAACCTAAACAGGGATACAAACAAGAAGGGGCTGGAATTCTGGGCACCAGCCAGTGTCCCAAATTTACTGTAGCCAGAGAAAGGGGAGAATGCAGCCTCAAGTCTAGGAAGCCAGGAAACACTAATCCTCTTCAAAATGGGAAAGTGACTCTCTCTGCCTTGGAAGGAAAACACACCAGGCCCGGCAATCTCTTTTCTCCATGAACTTGGCAAGCATTTTTCTCCCTGCTCCCACTCTTCCTGCTCATAGAAGAAAGCATGACACACTTATTAGCAGAGTCATTTTAAATACTATTTTGCTTAAAGCAGCATCAAATTCTAAACAAAAATCTGTGAGTTTTAATTTTAATTTTTAGTTCATTTCTAGTGGGAGCTGGGCTAAAATATAATTTTGTACTTTGTACAAACAACAGTGTAAGTAACATTGAAGAGGAAATTTTTACGCTGCTGATATGGTTTGGCTCTATGTCCCCACCCAAATCTCATCTCAAATTGTAATCCCCATGTGTTGAGGGAGGGACCTGGGGGGAGGCGACTGAATCATGGGGGTGGTTTCCCCTATGCTGTTCTTATGATAGTGAGTTCTCAGGAGATCTGGCTTTGCCTCTCTTCACCTCCCTTCCTTCCTTTCTTTCTTTCTTCGTTTTTATTTTTGAATTTCTCTCTTGTTGCCCAGACTGGAATGCAGTGGCATGATCTCAGCTCACTACAACTTCTGCCTCCTGGGTTCAAGAGATTCTTCCACCTCAGCCTGCTGAGTAGCTGCGATTACCGGCACCCGCCTCCATACTCAGCTAATTTTTATATTTTTAATAGAGATGAGGTTTCATCATGTTGGCCAGGCTTGTCTCAAACTCCTGACCTCAGGTGATCTGGTGGTTTTTATAAGTGGCAGCTTCCTTTCTCTCTCTCTCTCTCTCTCTCTCTCTCTCTCTCTCTCTGTCTCTCTCTCTCCCCCTCCCTCCCTCCTGCCACCATGGGAAGATGTGCCTTGGTCACCTTCCTGTTCCACCATGACTAAGTTTCCTGAGGCCTCCCCAGCCATGTAGAACCATGAGCCAATTAAACCTCTCTTATAATCACCCAGTCTCTGGCAGTATATTTATAGCAGTATACAAACAAACTAATACAGCTGCTAAGCCGAATCAGCGGTTTTCCACATCTTTTTGCAATAGTACATTTGATCAAAATCCATCCTGAGCCATTAACAAGCATGTGACCTTGAACAAGTCTCTAAACCTCTATAGGCCTCAGTCTGCTCATCTGTAAAATGAGAGCATTGGACTGGATTTTCTCTATGTGATCCTTATACCTTTAAGAGGTCATGATTCTGTACATTAAGTGCAAATGACACTTACATAAGTGATAAAAATCAGTGGCCCAACACACTGTTGAAATGAAGGCTGTTTCTAGCTTTTTTTTCTCTTGGATGAAGATGGAAATAATCATCATTATCTGGGGCCTTGGGGGCTATTTACTTGTACTCAGGCTTTTTGGAAGGTTGAGATGCATTCATTGGCTATCTTCGAGCTCTAAATCTACTTCAAAATTGATTAGGGAGTTTGCATTTTCTCCGTGAGATTCAGCAGTGGCTAGGTACTCAAAATAAGTTATTGTTGAACCAGGAAGCATAGTCCTACTCTCTGGAGGGCTCAAACTTATTGTTACTTAAGCCTCTGGTAATTTTCTAGAGGATGGAGGGTCCAAAAAATTACCCAGTCCATTAGACATTTCTGATATGTTTAACTAACTGAAGCACAGTTTTATATATCCATAGAGTTAGGATGATGCCAGGCAAGCTGTATTAACTGTGCTATCCAACCCAGGTAAGTTTACTCTTTATGTTTATGACTTGTCATTTGTTTAAAAAATGTTATTATCTACAAGGATTCAGTGGCTACATATTGCCTTTTATTTTGTATAATACTGTTTTTAGTCAGATCAAGCAAAGGTTAACCGCATTAATAGCACCAGCTTGTTCTTTTCAGAGAAAAGCAAAAGCCCTTGGATGTATGGACAGAAGTTACACAGGGTTAACTGTATCCTTACAAACCTCTATGGAAAGGGATGACAGGACTTTGGCTTCATTCCCTCAATGGCTATATCAGTAGCAGAAGTGCTATAATTTAATTTCTTGGGCAAACTATTCAGATAACCCTTCACACAGAATTATAGCTTCTATTAAAAATGTGTATTCTTTTCCAAAGCCTTTTTATTCTCTTGTTTTAATATGAAACAACTAAGAGTTATAACAGCACATTGGGAAAGAATTATTATCCTTGTCAACATCCTTAGGGGACTTGATTAATATAAGAATCTCTTCCTCCTGACTAATGATACTATAGGCTGCAGAAGCATTCCCCAAACAATTGTGTAATTCAAGTCCTTTGTATCTGGTGTGTATCTGACAGACTGGTCAATAGCTTCTGCTGAAGAAATGTATTCCTCTCAATTTCAATCATAAAGCGACCTCTAAGGAGCAATTCTCAAGTCTCATAAGTAGGCTGGACTTAGAACATGAGGCTCACCTGTGACACTCCTGCCTCAATAGAGATGTTGAATTCCAAAAGATGTTGAATTCCAAAGAGGAGGCTGTACAAGGAAATCTGGAGGATGAATGAGAGAGAAAGGTCATGTACTGTGGTACAGAGAGAAATAGTCAGGTAAATGGTACCAGTCATAAATTATTTTTATATGATGATACCAGCAATAATAAGCTATTGTATAGAGAGCACTTACTTTCTGCCAGCTAATTTTGGAAGTGTTTTATATGTATTAACTAATTTAATCCTCACCTCGACCTTAGAAAGTAATGTGTAGGACTATAATATGTAAATAGTTTTCTCTACTATATTTTCTCTACAATATTTTTACTTAATATTGTTTAAGTAAAACAATAAATTGTTTTGTTTGAATTTTCCTATATCAGTTATTTCCATTTAAATGTAAAAGCTGTTGACTTCCATCATTTAGGTAATCTACGACTTCATTCACTCACTCCAATATCAGAAACTTGGCTTAGAAGTTTCCTCTTTGCCAAGAAAGGGGAGAGAAGTTTCAGAAGATAATGGGGGATGCATAAAGGATGAACATATATTTTATTGCAGTTTCTCAAGACTGTCAATTGAGTTGTATGCCTTTTCTTTGATAAAGCTGTAGTTAGGTTTTCAACTGTGCCAAAATGGCTAATGATAGATTTCGTGCCTAGTACGGACTGAACTGTGTCCACCTGTCCCCCAAATTTATATGTTTAAGTCCTAATCTTCAGTATCTCAGAATATGACTACATTTAGAAATTTGGCCTTTAAAGATTAAGGTTAAAGGAGGTCATAATGGTGGGCCCTAACCCATGAGACTGTATTTAGAGATAAGATCCTCAAAGAGGCGACTCAATTTAAAAAAAGACATTAGGGTGGCCTCCTAAGCCAATCTGACTGGTGTCCTTATAAGAGAAAATCTGGTCCTGAGGGAGACACTGGGGGCACACACAGAGGGATGACTATGTGAAGAGACAGCAAGAATGCGGCTATCTGCAAGCTAAAGGCCTCAGAGGTAATCATACCCTGCCTGCACCTTCACCTTGGACTTCCAGCCTCCAGACTTATGAGGAAACAAATTTTTGCTATGAAAGCCACCCAGTCTGTGGTATTTTGTTATGGCAGCCCTAGAAAGCTGATATAGTATAGAGCAAAATGCCGGTTTTTGCTGCTTTTTATTTAACCATTTCCCCTTTAATTAGCTGAAATAAATTTGTACTAAGGAAAAAGCAAGTCTTGATAAGCCTTTCGAACACATGTTGAAAATAGCCAGTCACAGACTCAGACCATATGTACATAAGTAATTTAACCCTCGTGATTTAGTAACACTACAGAGAGCCTATGGAAAGTGTCCAGCAGAGAAATGGTGGTATTTACAGATCTGACTAGGCAGCATTTGGTGTTCTTCAATCCTAGGAACTACCAGATATTGTAGCATCTCACGGCCATGGGCATCTGTAGGTCCATCCACAGTACAGCAAAGAGCAAACAGCGCAGAAAAAGTATCTTTTAATTGTCCCGCCTTTCCATGGCATAGTTGGGTCTTGAAATCAGTTATCTTGTTTCCAAGTCTTTACTTAAAAACGTACACAACATACTGGCCTTCAAGTATTTATTAAATTCTAATTATATGTTATATATTTATACCGTGCTTTGAGTAGTAGAAGCAGATCTAAGAGAGTATTGATACATGTCCCTGTTCTTGAGGACATCTGGAGGTCCAACATCCTGAATAACTGAGATGTGTCATCTAGCCACATTATTATGCTGAGTGCTCCTTACGCATCCTGGAAAATAAGGCCCATTTGAAAATAATATCTTTAAAAATTTTGGCACAAATTTTTATGACGGTGTTGATTAAAAACTAAAAAAAGATAAAATCATATGCTGTCATTTTTAAGCACATATGTCTCCCTCCAGAGAAATCACATGCTTTCTCTTCCTTCTCTCTCTCTCTCTCTCTCTCTGACAATGCCTTTGGTTATCCATTGAGGAATTTAATCATTTCCAACATTAAGAAGAATTTTCTTACATAGATGATCTTAATCTCTAATGTAGCAGTTTGTCGATTTCTTCCTTTTAGGTCTTCAGCAAAAGGAGAGAACAGCTGGTCTCAATCTTTTTTCTGTCAGTTTTTCACATACTGGGGGACTTAAAAGGGTGAGCTACTTCATGCCTGTCAGTTACAATAGCAGACTTGAATTCATATAACCTTGTTTCATTTAGCTCCATACGCCTGAGAAACAGAGGGTGGGGAACAACTGGTGTTTGGCAGGGTTTCACAGGTACCATAATCTTATTTGCAAACAATGTCTGTCCTCTCAGATTTGTCCTACTTCATTAGCAAAGTGCCTCAGGAAAAGTACACAGGATAACGGAGAAAATTTCTTCTGTGCATGACTGAAGAAAACTCACCAAAAAAAGGCAAATAAGTCCCTCTGACTCTTCCTGTGTTGTTCATGTTTTGTAAAATGTGTTAAACACTTGTGATACACATTTTGTTGAGTACTTGTGACCCTTATGATCCTGAATTGCTAACCTTTAGATTAAAAAATAAAGTTTTTAGGGTTTTGGCCCCTATGGATTAGCTTGGTCATGTCAGCCCTCCCACTGGCAACAATAATTAAACCTAAACAAAATTAAAAGCTAGCAAACAACTATTTGAAGGCATTGCAGTGACCAAAACCAAGCAGAAACTAGAGAAGACTGCTTTTGAAAGATGAACTGCAGTAGGTGAAACTTATCATTTTGTGGCCATTTGCTTCAAAAAATATGTAAAATACAGCAGAAAGACACAAAACTACATTCTTAAGGTGTCAGAGAATGTAGTTTTAGGTTGTCAGAGGAGTCAGGATGTTTGGGGGGGGAAATATTGAAAGCGAAAGAACTAAAGAGGTGATCCCTAAAGCAAGTGTCCGAAATTTACCCAGACTTTTCGCTAACCAGTAAACTATGTATTTGCAGGGAAGATCCTAGAAGGCCAGAATAAAAGCAGTAGGTGGAGGATAAAATGACTGCATAGAGAGTCAGCTAATACCAATACAGAAGAGACAGAGCTTGACTATCAAATTAACTGCCTACTAGAATATTAAAAAAAAATCATTCCCCAGATAAACATAGTGGAATCCAGAATCTTTACAATGCATCATCCGTAATGTCCTGGAACCAAATAAAAATCATTAGATATGTAAAAATAAAGGAGAATGTGACCCTCACTCATGAAACAATTAATGGAAACAAACCTCCAGGTAAACCAGATGTTGCAAAAAGCAGACAAATACTTCAAACAGCTCTTAAAATATGTTTAAGTTCTTAAAGGGAAATATGTGTATAATAGATGAACAGATCGGGAAATCTCAGCATAGAAATAAAAACTATAAAAAAAGAGCAAAGGGGGAATTCTAGAACCCTAAAATACAGTAATTGAAATGAAAAATTCACTGGAAGGGCTTAAAACAAGTTTGAGATAGGAAAAGAAAGAACTGGCAAACTTGATGATACATCAGTAGAAATTATCTAATCGAAAGAACAAAGAAGTGAAAATTGGAAGAAACTCGAATAGAGCTTCAGAGATCTGTGGGATAATAACAAGACATCTAACGTACATGTAATTTGAGTTGCAGAAATCCAGGCAAGAGAGAATGGAGCAGAACAACAACAATTTGAGCAAAGAATGGCTGGAAACTTTTCAAATATGCTGAAAAATCCCAATTATAGCTTGGAAGATACAATATTTTAAAAATATGCATTTTCCCCAAATTAATATTCAATTTTAATCTCAATCATAATCCAACAGCTATTTTTATAGAAATCGATAATGTTGTATTAAAATGTACATGAATATGTATACAACCTAGAATTTGCAAAACAATCTTAGAGGAAACAATAAAGAAAAGCCTGGAAGGCTTGCACTATTTGACTCTAAGAATTACTCTAGATTAATTTAGTCAAGACAACATAGCACCGTCACAAAGATAGACAAATAGATCAACGAAATAGAATGGAGTGTCCAAATGAACCCATGTTTATATGGCATATTCAGTCTCAATAAAGATGCTAATTTAGTTCAATAGGAAAATGACAGCCTTGTCAATAAATGGTGCTGGATTAACTAACTATCCATATGAAAATGAAAATGTTCAGCTCCTAGTCACATCATGCACAAAAATTAATTTGTGATAGCTCAGAGGCCTAAACATAAAATCAAAATCTATAATGCCTTGAGACAAAAGCATAGAAAAATATTTTTACTAACATTACAAATATTAAGGAAATAGGCAAGCCAAAGTATAAAAAAAATTCAAAAATATGTATTTACAAAACATATATTTGACAAAGGACTTGTATCTAGAATAGACTCGTAATTCCCACAGTTCAAAATATGAGCAGAAGACATGGAAAAGTTGCAAATAAAGTTATATACAAGACCAATAAGTACATGAAAATTACTCAGCAAAGTTAAATGATTTATCACTGAATTCCTATAAAATGGCCAGAATGCAGAGATCTAACGACCCTGATATTGCAAAGATGTGAACAAATGGAACTCTCACACTGGTAAGAATATAGAATTTCATATAACCACTTTCATATAAAAGTTTGACAATTTTTCTTAAATTGCCTATCCTTAGACCCATTTTTATTTTCCTAGGTATATATGGAAGAAAAATGAAAATATATGTCTACACAAAGACTTAGACCAGAACATTCACAGCATCTTTAACAATTATAGCCAAACACTGGAAACAGTTCAAATGCACATCTGCAGAAAAATGGATAAACAGGCTATTGTATAGTCATAAAACAGAATGCTACCCAATAATAACAATGTCTTACCTTTTGAATCACTTAACAACCTGGATTACTCTCATAAACAATATGTAGAGTCAAAGAAAGACAAGAAGAACACAGGCTGAATGATTTTATTTTTGTAAAGTTTTAGAACAAGCAAACCTTATCAAAGGCAAAAGGAAAATGGCAATACTGGTTGTCTGCTTTGGGATAAAGGTCTATGACTGGAAAGGACTACAGCAAAGCCTTCAGGAGAGATAAGAAGGCCCTGTTATAACGAGGTGTGGATTGTGGGTTACCCAGTTGGATTCCGTTTTTGAATTGTACATTGAATGTTTGTGTATTTTAGTGTAGGTGAATTACACCTCAATGAAAAAAAATTAAGGGCTCCCTGATGTATCCTTACTAGGAGATATCTCCTAGCAGAGGCTGACAGATACCTCATATAGGAGAGCTCTGGCTACCAACTGGTAAGTACCCTTTGAGACAAAGCTACCAGAGGAAGGGAAAGCCAGCAATCTTCGCTGTTCTGAAGCCCCCACTGGTGATTCCCAGGCAATTAGGGTCTGGAGTGCACCTCCAGCAAACTCCAGCAGAGGAGTCTGTTAGAAGGAAGTTAACAAACAGAAAGAAATAGTTTCAACATCAAGAGAAAGGACGTCCACTCAGAGACCTCATCCAAAGGTCACCAACTTCAAATATCAAAGGTAGATAAATCCACGAGGATGGGAAGAAACCAGCACAAAAAGGCTGAAATCTCCAAAAACTAGAATACTTCTTCTTCTCCAAGGGATCACAACTTCTCACCAACAAGGGAACAAAACTGGATGGAGAATAAGTTTGACAAACTGACAGAAGCAGGCTTCAGAAGATGGGTAATAACAAATGTCTCTGAGCTGAAGGAGCATATTCTAACCAAACGCAAGGAAGCTAAGAACCTTGAAAAAAGGTTAGACGAAATGCTAACTAGTATAACCAGCATAGAGAAGAATATAAACAACTTGATGGAGCTGAAAAACACAGCACAAGAACTTTCGGGAGCATACACAATTTTCAATAGCTGAATTGATCAAGCAAAAGGAAGAATATCAGAGATTGAAGATCAACTCAGTAAAATAAAGCAGGAATGCAAGATTAGAGAAAAAAGAATAAAAAGAAATGAACAAACCTCCAAGAAATATGAGATTATATGAAAAGACCAAATCTACACTTGATCGGTGTATCTGAAAGTGATGGAGAGAAGGAAACAAAGCTGGAAAAAACTCTTCGGGATATTATCCAGGAGAACCTCCCCAACCTAGCAAGGCAGGACAACATTCAAATTCAGGAAATACAGAGAACACCACAAAGATACTCCTTGAGAAGAGCAACTCCACGACACATAATCGTCAGATTCCCTCGGGTTGAAATGAAGGAAAAAATGCTAAGGGCAGCCAGACAGAAAGGTGGGCTTACCTACAAAGGGTAGCCAATCAGAGTCACAGCAGATCTCTAAGCCAAAACCCTAGAAGCCAGAGGGGAGTAAGGGCCAATATTCAATATCCTTAAAGAAAAGAATGTATACCTCAGAATTTTATATCCAGCCAAACCAAGCTTTATAAGCAAAAAAGAAATAAAATCTTTTACAGAAAAGCAACTGCTTAGAGATTTCGTGGCCACCAGGCCTGCCTTACAAGAGCTCCTGAAGGAACCACTCAACATGGAAAGGAACAACCGGTACCAGCCACTGCAAAAAACATATCAAATTGTAAAGACCATGGACATTATGAAGAAACTGCATCAACTAACGGGCAAAACAACCAGCTAGCATCAAAATGGCAGGATCAAATTCACACATAACAATATTAACCTTTGGTGTAAATGGGCTAAATGCCCTAGTTAAAAGACACAGACTGGCAAATTGTATAAAGAGTCAAGATCTATCAGTGTGCTGTATTCAGGAGACACATCTAACGTGCAAAGACACACATAGGCTAAAATAAAGGGATGGAAGATTTACCAAGCAAATGGAGAGTGAAAAAAGCAGGGATTGCAATCCTAGTCTCTGATAAAACAGTCTTTAAACCAACAAAGATCAAAAGATACGAAGAAGGGTATTACAAGGTGGTAAAGAGATCAATGCAACAAGAAGAGCTAATAATCCTAAATATATATGCATCCAATACAGGAGCACACAGATACATAAAGCAAGTCCTTAATGATCTATAAAGAGACTTAGACTCTTATGCAATAGTAGTGGGAGACTTAACACCCCACTGTGAATATTACACAGATCAACAAGACAGAAAATTATCAAGGATATCCAGGACTTGAACTCAGATCTGGATCAAGTGAACTTAGTAGACATCTACATAACTCTCTATCCCAGACCCACAGAATATACATTCTTCTCAGCACCACACTGCACTTATTCTAAAATTGACCACATAAGTGGAAGTAAAACACACTTCAGCAAATGCCCAAGAATGGAAATCATAACAAACAGTCTCTCAGACCACAGTGCAATCAAATTAGTACTCAGGATTAAGAAACTCAACTCAAAACTGCACAACTGCATGGAAACTGAACAACTGGCTCTTGAATGCTGACTGGATAAATAATGAAATGAAGGCAGAAATAAAGATGTTCTTTGAAACCAATGAGAATGAAGACACAATATGCCAGAATCTCTGGGACACATTTAAAGCAGAGTCTAGAGGGAAATTTATAGCACTAAATGCCCACAAGAGAAATGAGGGAAGATCCAAAATTGACACCCTAATGTCATTATTAAAATAACTACAGGAGCAAGATCAAACAAATTCATAAGCTAGCAGAAGACAAGAAATGACTAAGAGCAGAGCAGACCTAAGGAGACAGACACAAAAAAACCTTCAAATAATCAATGAATTCAGGAACTGGTATTTTGAAAAGATCAACAAAATAGATAGACCCCTAGCCAGAATAATAAAGAAGAAAAGAAAGAAGAATCAAATAGATGCAATAAAAAATGATAAAGGGGATATCACCACTGATCCCACAGAAATACAAACTACCATCAGAGAATACTACCAACACCTCTATGCAAATAAACCAGAAAACCTAGAAGAAATGGATAAATTCCTGGACATCTACACCCTCCAAAGACTAAACCAAGAAGAAGTTAAATCCCTGAATAGACCAATAACAAGGTCTGAAATTGAGGCAGTAATTAACAAATTAATAGTCTACCAACCAAAAAAGTACAGGACAAGATGGGGCACAGGTGACTTCTACCAGATGTACAAAGAGGAGCTGATACCATTCCTTATGAAACGATTCCAAACAAT